ACTCACCCTGCGCCAGGCAGGTCACGCTGCTGTCACGGTGAAGAAAGAGCAGTGGTTTCTATGGTGACGGTGTCCCCAGGATGGGTGGCACAGAGGCAGGATGCTGTTGGGGTCCCTCGATCCCCGGCAAGGACGGCAGCCACCCATAACCACCATCACCCTCAGCATCACTGCTGCCGCCCCCCAAAAACACTGCATCCCTGCTGCAGAACCCCCCACACTCCCTAAAAGCATCCCCTGGCAGAGCATCCCCTGGTGCGAGGAGACAAGAGACAAACGCCCCAGCTCCGGGGGGCTTAAATGAAAACCAGCTCCAGAAATAACAGTGGGAGGAATCCATCTGGATAACCGTAGGTGGCAAACCCCGCGCCGGAGCCGTAATGTGCAAAGACAACAGAATTCATGACAAAGCACAAAGGGAAGCGCCGGGCTCCGCCGTCCCCAGATATTCATCCGTTAACGCGTTCCCTTTTTAGGCTGACATGTCGCTTCAGACGGGCCTGTTCTGCCTCCCCTTTCTTCTCCCCCTGCTCGGCGCGCGGCTCTGCCGAGGCGGCTGCGGAATTGGATCACCTCAGGGCGAGCACTTTATTATCTGCAGTCAAAGCGTCACCACAAATACCCGTCTACACACACACGTGTCACTTCCCATTTGTCTCCTCCACGAGGTATTAGCACACCGCGGCACCGCGGCCACCGGCGCGGCAAAGTCCAGCGGCACCGGGCGGGAGGCGCGTCGCGGCCATGAGGATGCCCTGGTGCTGCCCTGATGCTACCCCAGTGCCACCCCGATGCCACCCTTAAGAGACCAAGGTGTCACCCCAACACCACCCCAGTACTGCACCAATGCCATTTACATGCCACCTAATGCTGCCCCAGCAGAGCCCTGATGCCACTGAGGCCACCCCAACACAATACAATCCCATGACACCCCAATGCCACCCCACTGCTGCCCACCCTTCTGACATCAAACACGGGCCCATTACAGCCCTGATGCCACCCTGATGCCATTCTACCAAGAGGAAGAGGAGGGACCCCACTGTACCTCCTCCTAGCCACTCCCCAGTTCCTCTGCTTGGTCACTGATGGTGAATCAGCATTTGAATAGCTTTAAGACATGGATTTTGCATCCCAAATGTGGCTTCTGGTGCCCATGGGACCCCATCCCTGCTGAGGGGAGCAGAATGGGCACCCCTATGTCAGCAGATGCCCCATCCCCAGGTCTGCAGTCCCACACAGCCCCATTGGTACCCAAGAACCTGCTCCATGCCCAATGGACTGGTGTGGTCCTGGCAAGCGTGGACACAACCCAAATCCCCATCATGTGCTGGGGCATTATGAGTGAATCCCACCCAAACACCAGGGCTCTGACCTGGTGGCCCTGGCACGGAGCAGCCCATCCTCACCCATCCATCCCCCCCATGCACGTGACCCATTGAAAAGTGGCTTTGCATCGTTTCCTGGCAGGGAAAGTGCAAGTCAACAGCACATTGTGGGCAGGGCAGTTATTTGAACTCCTTTTTACGGCACGCATATAAATACACAGCCCCATCATTAACCGATCCCTTCCAGAAACTGAGAATGAAAGAATTAATCTTACTTCACTCATGTGTAACCCCTCATGAAATTAAAATGATATTTTATGGGTGTGTACGAAAGCAGAGCCTCGCTGCAGCTACTCTAATGAAAATGCCCTTGGAATCAGTAGAATTGGGGAATGAGGAGCAATTAAACCCTGTTTATCCTATATGCAATTAAACCGTTTTATCACTGAGGAGAGGCACCCCCAAGGGTCAGTGTGAGGGTGTGGGTGACCTGCCCCTCGTCAGTGTTTTAATGACCCAGCCAGAGCCATGGCAGGGCTCTTGGCTTGTGCCATCCCTTAAGAGCCATTTCTCACACTGTTCCCACTGGGCTGAGGTCCCATGGGGCCAACAAGGGACAGGCCAAGGGGAATGGCTTGAACCTGCCCAAGGGGAGGCTGAGCTGAGCTCTTAGGCAGAAGCTCTTCCCTGTGAGGGTGCTGAGGCGCTGGCACAGGGTGCCCAGAGAAGCTGTGGCTGCCCCATCCCTGGCAGTGCTCAAGGCCAGGTTGGACACAGGGGCTTGGAGCAAGCTGCTCCAGTGGAAGGGGTCCTTGCCCATGGTTGGAGCTGAGTGAGCTTTAAGGTTCCTTCAACCCAAACCAGTCAGCCTATGGTTCTGTGCCCCCCAGCCCCAGCCTCACCAGAAGGATGCTCACGGTGAGATGTGATGTTAGCCTTCGGGGAGCACGCACCCTGCACCCCACAGCCTCATGCCAGCAGCATGGTGGTGGCTGACGGAGGGCACACAGACAGGAACATGTAATTAAATACAAGGCACCGCGACATCACTGCAGAGAGCAGGAGCGGCAGAGTTGGGCCAAGCCGAGAGTGGTATTATTTGATTTATAATTTAAATAAAGCTCAGGATTCCTGTAATGTGCACGGAATAAAATCAAAAGGGACCAGGCTGCTGGAGTTAATTGGACGTGATATTTTCCTGAGGATGCTGCTTCTCCGCAGGCTCCTGCTCCTCGGCTGGATGCAGGCAGGGCTCCAGGCACCCTCCTGCATCCTCAAGGATGCATCGCTGCCGTGTCGGGATACCAGCAAGGGGAACAGGCTGCTGCCACAAACTGGCACCACGGCAAAGTGACCCACAGCAGTTACTAGGATGGATTTCATGGGATGCACTGAGCCTGAGGCAAGGGGGGGATGGCAATTAGGAGGAGAGCCAAGGGGCAGAGCTGGGGGGCGAAGGCAGCGGGGCCGCCAGCTCCCAGCAAGGGCGGAATTACTGAGCTCACCTTTTACATGAAATTAATACCAAAATTAATCAGCGGCGCGGGCAGGGTAATAGGATTTCACAGTGGTGCCGGGCCAGACGGCCAGCGCGCCCGGAGCCAGACTCATTTAATATCCACAGAAACAATGCCAGAGGACAGAAATAAGACCCATAAAGATAATTACTGAGATACTCAGGAGCAAATTAAGCAATCAGAGGCACTTCTAAATTGTGCCTCGTTTGAAGAGGATGCTCGGTGGCGAAGTGCGGGGGGCTCGGTCCCGGCTCCCGGCCCCTCTGCGCCGCGCTTCCCGCAGGTGCCATAAATAAAGGAGGGGGAATCTTCCCAGCCGGATGGATGCGTGGCCATGGATGTCACCTGCAATTTAATGTGCAGGAGCGGGAGTGATGCGCTGGGGCTGCCCGCAACGAGCCGGAGCAGGCAGGCAGCTAAACTTTGATTAAGGTGACCTGGTTGGCAGCACCCAGCGGCAAGCGCAGCACAGGGGGTCCAGGCAGGGATCTTGGCTGTCACCACACACCATCTACCGCAGGGATGCATCTGGAGTGGGACGGGCCTCAGGGATCTCGGGTGAGCCCGCTCCTGCCCCAAGGGATGTGGTGCAATCAGCCAAAAGCCCCAGTGCCCCATCCGGCTTTGGGGCTGACTTTGCAGCTCACCCTCGTCCCATCAGCATGGCTCAGAGACCACAGCACTGCAGGGATGGGACCCTCCCTACCCCTGGGTGCCTTGGTGACACCCTGTATGGGCTTCCCATTCCCCAAACCTTACTTTAGCATCATCTATGATGGGTGGGGAACACCTGAGAGCACCAGCCTCCCCAGCAGGATTGTGCTCCTCGGCTTCAACCCCATGAACCGAGATGGCCCTGGGCTCAGCCTGGGATGGGTGGACGTATCCTGACCTCAGCATCACACTGAACTTGACATAGAGATTCCCAGTGCCAAACACCTCTGGAAAACCCTGCCATGGGTCTCAGAGCATGGGGGCATGGCTGAGCTAACAACGCAGTGCACCGGGAGCCAGAGCCTGATGCCAGCCCTGCATTGCTCAGGTGCAACAGATGAGGAATAGCTTTCCAGGAGCAACATCCATTTCCTTTCCAGACACCAACAAAGGGACGACCCGAGCAGCACCGTGGGCTCCTCTGTGGCACAAGCACACGGGGCCCACACATGCACCCAAATGCTTCAAGACCCCCCAATTGCTGACACCCCGATGGGTGCTTAGGGATAAACAGGAGGCACCGGTCCCACCTATCCCTGTGACCACTGATGCACACACACTTGTGCTTCCCTGCCTGCAACACGTGGGCGCCCATCACCCTGCCTCTGGCCTGGCACTCTGCTCCCTGCCACTATGCTGTGCCAAATGCCGGGGAGCTTCACCCCAAAAACTAACCCTCTGTGCTGCCAGTGTGACCCAAGCATCCCCAGCATCCCCTAAACCCCACACCCGGCTCACTCGGAGTACCCAGGTAGAGGGGAAAAAACAGATCTCCATGAAAACAGAGATCATTAAACAAATGCCCAGGGTCTGTCACAGCCTAACAAGCAGAGCTTTAGCAGCTGATTTGTCTTCAGCCAGCAATGTTTAAAAATCCAACTGAGACCAGCAGAAAAATATCCACTCCCCTCTTTAAAACACACATTCATCACTTGAGAATCTTAATGCGCCTTTCCCAGCCGGGGAGGTCAAACACGCCTGCCTAAAGCAGGCTCATTAAATATACATTTAATCACGGTTTGGATTGAGAGACAAAGGCTGGGAGAGACAGGTGCTTTGCTGGAGTGACCTTTTGGATCCCATTTTAATGTAACTGGTTTACAGCTTATCTGAAAGGCCAGCTCCTGGGGAAAGCGAGCAGCAGCCAAATGGGGACGGTGATTAGGGGGGGAAGGGATGGGGAGGTTTGGGGGGCTGCGGAGCAGGCGACAGCAGCATCCTCCGTGCCGCTTCCAGGCAGCTCTGCAACATGTCCTGAAGTTCCACTTATCAACCAGAGCAACCCAATTTAATTTGCTTATCTCGTCTCCTTCCTCCCTCCCTCCCTGCTTCTGCTGCTCTGTTTAATTATCATCGGTTAAATGAATGTCTTTTTCAATAGGGGAAGCAGCATCAAAGCGGGTGCATCTCTGCACACCCCCCCCCCCGGGACCCTTACACTTACACTTGCGCGGCTCCAGTGCCTTGTTGGGGCAGGCGAGGTGTTGGGCTGGGGGGTTCTGGGTCCTCTGCAGACACGCCAGCATGGTCCTGGCCTCCGGGTGGGCAGCGCCGGCCCCGCTGCCAGCCTGTGCCCTGCTGAGAGGAGAGACAATCCGGTCAGGAGCTGCCCGTCACCATCCAGCCTCTCCCTGGGCAATGGAGCTGCAGCAGGAGCCCCCGGTGCCGCACGCTGCTCAGAGCCCTTCCCTCCTTCACAGATAACAACTCCAGAGCCTTAAAGAAATATGAATGTATATAAAATAAACATGAAGGGCTCAGCGGGCGAGTCGTGCTTCCTGCAAAGCTTCCCACCCTTCCCAGTGGGAACGGGGCAGAGCCGGGATGCCTCTCCGGCACCAGTGCCAGACTGCTCTGCCAGCGTGCCAGTCGCTGCCTCCTGGCAATACAGGATCCCGCCGGCTCCACACAAGGCAGCGTTAAAATCCCATCGGGGTCCTGGGATCTGACGCCAGCTCCCAGCTGGCATCAAAAACCTGCTCGACAAAAGCCGGAGGGGTCAAGCCAAAGTCACCGCCGCCAGCGCTCTGCTCATTGTACATCCTTCAGCAGCCGCCACCGAGGGCATGAATTATAACCAGTTGCTGCTGACACCCTCCCACTGCTCCGGCTGGCGCGGGGAGTGAGATTCCCACTTGGAGAGGGCAGGGAGACGTGGGCAGGAGCAGCAGAAACGCAGGCAGCGGTGCCGGTCCTCGGCATGGCAGCTTCGGAGCCGTTGCTCTCCCAGCTGAACATTTACTGATGGCTCAGTGCCATAGGTGGGGGTCACAGATGGGGGTCACGGCCGGGTCCATCACTTCACGTGCTCCATCATGGGGGAATCACCCTCCTGCAGCCAGCTGGGATGTTTCCCGCATGCCTCAGTGTTGGCAAACAGCACCGGGACTGGCCTGCAGGGGAGCATGCGGTGGCCTTGGGTTCACACCAGCAGAGATCTGGTCCCAGAGCTGTGCTCAGGGCTCTCCTTACCCCACTGGTCTCAATGTCCCCCTTCAAAACACACCTCTGCAGCCATCAAGGACATGCAGGTGATGGTACCCACTTGCTCCTGCTTCGTGCCCCACTCCACCGGGCAAGGGGGGTCCCAGGTCGGCGATGGGACCAATGCAGGATATCAGCACTGAGGCCAGGCTCTGTCCAAGGGTGCTATGGGGGTCTCACCCCATCCCCTCCATGCTGCAAACCAGGGGGCAAGGGAAGAGACTCATTATGGAAAGGTGTGAGGAGCAGGCGGGGAGGAGGAAGTCATCTAATACGAAGCAGGTGTCTGGAGAACCCAAATTGTGCTGTTTTCTCCTAATAATGAAGTATTCATGAGTAAAAGCCTTTTTCACTACTTTCTTAAGATACTAATTTCACAACAAGCGCCTTGTTACCATGCAATTATTCCAATCGTGCATTTCTCCCAGATTCCATCTGTCCTCGCGCTCTCTAAATGAAAGACAATCATGTAACCACCTTTCATTATTCACTATTTTACTTTCAGCAAAGGTACCCTGAAAGAAATGATTTCCTCTGAAAGGGACTTTTATTCAGTTTCAAAACCAATTTTCTCCTATTACTGTCTTAAAAAAAAAAAGCAGGCGGGGGGCAGGGAGGTGTTTTTATTTCATGCATTACATCTCCTTTGTTAACGCAGCTCGCAGTAAAAGCAGCCGTATCCATTTTCTGGCTTCGATTTCTGGTAATTTTAAAATATGCCATTACAATCAGGCAGAAATTATACAGTTTGAAAAGAGAATGAAGTGCTTCTTATTCAGAGGCTGAGTGAGCGCACTTGACTGCCGGGGAGCTCGCCTCTCCCCGCCGGGACTCGGGGTTCATTACACAGCTCCTGCGTGCGCGCTGCCACTGGAGCGCTTCTGCATCCGCTCCGACCGCATCCCCATGGGATGGGCCCTGTGGGATGGCATCAGCTCCGCAGTGACCTCAGGGCTGGCGTCCTGCCCCGTGTCACCATCTGGCCGATTAGCGGGCGGACGTCACCGCCTCCCCTGCAGCCAGGCCAGCTCCGCGCCGGGACACTGCCCCGTGTCCCTGGTAAACACGGGCTTGGGGTGATGATGGATGTGCTTCAGCTCCCTAATGATTCCCAGGGGAATCAGGGATGAGAGCAAGGAGAAAGCACCCAGGGATGGGATGGCGTGGGGTGAGCGGACAAGGCAACAGCCACCAATCTGGGTGCTGACCAGAGGGTGAGGATGCAGCTCCAGGACAGGGCTGAACCCTGGGGAATGTGGGATGCTGATGGCCGGTCACAGGAGCTGCTGGCAACCTTAGTCCTGGAGACCCTGCCCTTGGCAGGGGGTTGGAACTGGACGAGCTTTAAGATCCCTTAAACCATTCTATGATTCCACAATAAATAAAGCTACTGATTAACTCAGACTCCAGTTTTGTCCCCATTTCCCACCGGCACGCAGTGGGGACAAGCTTTCCAACAACTATCCTGCATTCCACCCCACCCCAACGGGCACACATCATAACCACCATGACCCCACACATGCCACAACCCCATCCCTCTGTCCCAGCCCCTAAAGCATGCGTAGGTGAGAGGGTGGGCGCCGGCACAATGGGCATCTGTGCCACGGTGGCATTTCACTAATGCCGCTCAGAAAAGCCCCTGAATCAGCTGATGGGAATTGGGCGCTGGGCTGGCTGGATGCTTAGCGCCGGCTTAGTTAGCTCCATCTGCATTTGAACTAATTCCAATCAGCAGGATCCGATTTAGTTCAAGCTGCTCTGGCTCTTCTGTAGCAGGAAAGACAACACTCAGCAGTTTTGCCCAACCACCCCAAGCCTCAGCCCAGCCAGTGGCACATGGCGAGAGGGGTCCCTTGGGGACACCCAGAGCAGGGTCCCCCAGGAGTCCCGCATCCCACAGCATCGCTTCTCAACGCCAGCATCACCCCCTCCATCCCATCTCCGACTGCTCCTTCCCCCCCACCCCATGCAGGGTAATTTCAGAGCCCAATCTCTCCATCGCACTATTTATAAGCCCAAGGACTTTGTGACTTCAATAAAAACACAAACCCAACACCCTCCATGCCTAAAGCCCCCCGTGACGGGAGGCTTTGGCACCTCCTCTGACATCAGCGGCTGATAAGTCGGGCTTATCTCCTACGAGAGCCCTGCGAAGGTCCCTCTGGCGAGATAAGGCCCCGCAGCTGTCGATGGAGGCTTTTGCAGGCGAGGATTTAGATAAAGGAAAATGTGACGGGAGGGGGGGACAACAAAAAAGGGGAATCTTTAAAGTCTCAGCCTGAACCGGGTCCGTGCCGCCGGCCGGGCAAGAAGAGGGCAGAGCAGCCCTTGGTCACCATCCAGGCCCTGGTGCAACGCGTGCACATCCTTGCACGAGTGTTATCAGGGCGTTCTGGGGTGTGATCACCTAAAAAGGGAGGGTTTGGGGTTGGGAGAGGAAGGGGAGAAGGAGTAGGGATGCTGCAGGGTCACAGCGCGGTGTCTCCCACCCCTGCTATTAAAAGCAGCGCTGGGTTGGGCGCAAGGACAGGAGGTGACAGGGTCACCCCGCTAGGAGAGCAGCAAGAGGCTTCTGACAGCACCAGACAGACAGACAGACTGTGTGGGAGCGGGGCCAAGGCTGGCAGCGCTCTCACAAGCTGGCAGCACTGATAAATTAAGCAAAGGCTCTTGCTGGTCCCTAGTGCCCTGAGTACAACACAGCCACCTCATCCCTCACTGCTGGGATGCAGAAACCCACCAGGGAGCTCCCCTTCCCCATGGACATCAGTGCTACCCCACAGCAGCCCCATCACAGCCATTGCCACCATCCCCAGTCCTCACAGACACTGGTTTCCCATCAGATAGCGAGGGTGAGGAGGTGCTGGAGGAGGAAGGCTTCCTCTCTGCACACAGAGGGTGCCCATCCCAAGGCAACCAGGGCTCTGGCTGGCACTGCCACCTGGCACCACCACGGTTGTGCCAGCTCCTGCCCATCTCCCATCTAGCACCAGATTTATGGTGCCACGGCAACGGAGGGGACACAGCACCGGGTGAGCGACGCCGCATCTTAGCCCTGCAAGGGGCAAGGATGGGAAAGGTCACCCCGCCATAAATCACCGCGAGCAGAGGATAAAACAGAGCAGCGGGTTCGGCACCGAGGGCTGCAGCAAAGCACGGCCGCACCGCGACCTCCCTCCCGCTCCATCCCACCCAGCTAATCCGCTCCCCTCCGCGCGCTCCAGCCCCGGGCCTTTCAGGGGGCCCTGTTAATAATTAAATGTTAATCTAAAAAGCAATTTTAGCTGCAGTGCTGCAGATCTGGTTAGAGATTACATTAGCATGTAAGAGTCAAGGGTAATTTTCTCTAACCCCTCTTGTGATCTTTAAAACCCGCGGATCTTAAAGCAACACCAGCTCCTCTGATTAAAATTGGAAGCTGGGGTTTGCAACGGATAATGATGCTGGAAGTGATTATTTTGCTGCTCGGGATCTCGCTGGGGTGCAGGGCAGTGAGGCACTGGGAAAGTGACCTGTGTCCTATGGGGAAGGTGACTGGGGTGAACCCAGACCCGAATGGCACCCCACAGAGCTGTGCCCTCAGCTTATGGGTCTGACCCCACTCAGCTCTATGCCCAGGGGGTCCCTCCCCTCCCAATTCGTCTATCATGCCCAATCACAGTATGTTAGAGATTGGAAGGGACCTCAAAATATCATCTAGTCCAATCCTGCAGGATAGAGCCTGCAGGAAGAACCTCATGGACGGGGTGCACATCCCAACGGAGATGTTCCTGCAGCAGCTCCAAGGAGAAATCCCCTCAAGAAAACCAACATCAAAGAATACCCCAAAATATCCCTTAGCTTGCAAGAGGGGCAGGGATGGGGACACGGCAGAGGACACAGGCAAATTGCTTCCCAACCAGCGCAAGCGACCTGATGGAAGAAAGAAGGCAGGAGATGTGTCCCTAATGATGGCATTAAAAACCCCAACAATCCGAGTGCTGTTGAGCACTTGCAGACATCCTCGCGCAGGGCTCGGGCAGCCTGGTTAAATTTATGTGTCAGCTTTAAGGAGGCCTCTCATCAAACGAGCTATTTTGAGCGGAGATTAAAGATCTATTTTAGCTGCGAGCGGGAACAGCTCTCGAACAGGTTAATAATGATCCTAGAAACCCAAATGTCTCCAGTTCCCCCGGGGCTGAGCAGCCAGGGCCCTGGGCAGCACCGCATGAGGTTCCCCGAGCAGGGAGGGTGAGGGACCCTGCTGCAGCGTCCCCCCCAGCCCGCTGCCATGCTCCCAGGGAGGAAGAGCCCCCGCGCTGCTGCGGGGAGGAGCGCGGGCTGAGCAGGCGTGGGTAATTGGAAGTGGCAGAGGCTGGCGCGCCGCTGCAGAGGAGGTCATTACGTGGGACTGAGAGCGCAAGGCCAGCAGCCAGGAGGGGGGGAACGGCCCCCGTAGCAAAGGTCAGGGCCCTGCTCGGGTTCCTGTGGTGGTTTGGGCAGAGCCTGGCTCTGCTGGAATGCCTCTGGGTCCCAACAGGATCCCAGTGCAGCGCGCGGGCAGGACCTGCATGTAAGTGTATATCCCTGTGGTACCCTGTGGGAGCAACATGCTGCCTCATGGGGGCTTTGAAGCAAAACCACACTCAGCCGACACAGTCACACCGTGCCTCCATCCTGCACATGGATGGGGGGAGATGGGCCAGAGGGATGAGCCCATGCCCAGCAGAAAGAGCATCCTCAGGATGCTCCACAGACTTTTGGTACCAGCCCCAGTAGTGATCAAGCCAGCAGGATCAAACCATCAGAAAAGCCAAGCAGCCGCATGGAAGTCTCCAGAGCAGCAACTAAATCAACCTGTACCCCACGAACCAGTAGCCCAGCCAGGATCCCATCCATTGCCTGGGTGCACGCAGCACCCACATCCCCACCCGAGACCCAACAGACTCAACACTTCAGAGACCAAAGCTCCCCAGCACCCAGCCCGGCTCCTCCTGCCCCATCCCAGGGTCTCACTGTGGCAATAGGGGGCCTGGAGCGGCCATGGTGACCATGGCAGCACCACGGTGGCCGTGCCCAGCCCGTCCGGCTGTACCGTGCACCGCAGCCCCGCGCGCGCTGCTCAGTAATTACAGCCCCGAGCGCCGGGGCTGTGAAAGAATCTGACGAAGGAATCCAGGGTAGATCTCACTGCTGAAATTACTATAATCAAAGGCTTTCACAAAGGCTTCAAATGCAACCAATTACCCTGAAAGGCGAGGCAAGAAAGAAAACAAATTAACGTGTTTGCACAGAGCCTCAGCAGCAGCGCACACATTGCCCCGCTGCGCCCTCAACCCCGGCCGGCCCTGGGGCCTGCTCCCATCCCTGCATCCCGCTCCCCATCCCTGGGTACCAGCTCCCCGCTGCCACCGCTGCTCCCCATCCCCGCATCCTGCCCCGTCGCCGCTGCCGCGGGGTGCAGCTGCACACAAAGGGGCTCTGTGCCCGTCCCTCACCCCACAGCCAGCCGCTGCCCCCCGGCACACAAAAGCCCTGCCTGTGCCGGTGCCCGGGTCCAGCGCAGGCTCTGGAGCTTGCCAGGGTGGCCTGAGGAAACCTCCCTCCCTCCTCCATGGCACTGGCTGGTGTCCGGGGGGGGGTGAGGGGAGCCATGGGGTGCTCAAAGACACCCATTGAGCATCACCTCACTGACACATGGGGATGCTATTCACAGTGGGGACCACCACCCTCACCGCCTTACGCTTCGTCTGAGCTGTCAGTCTGGAGGAAAAGAGGGGAGAAAAGGGAAAAAATAATAAAAATCAACTTTGCTGTTTTAATATTTAACGAGAGTCCATCACCCTGAGTCTGTTTGGTAATATAAAGCTCTGGAGATTTAAACCCTTCTCACCCGGAGAGATGGAAATGAATGGTGCTCTTTAATGAGCTGGTTCAGCAGAAAAGATAGATTTCTGAGATTACTGTAGGAATTCTTATAATTGATGTGTACTTTTGTAACGAGGATTATACCACCACCCGGTCACGTAATTCCAGCTCTTCCCCCTCCACTTCTCCCAAGCTCGCCCTGCTTTCGGGGTTCCCTGGGGGTGCGGGGCCAGCTTGGGCCCCCGAGGGGAGAAAACAATGCAATGTGAAGGGGGGAGAAGAGAAAGACAAAGAATTAACCATGCTTTTCTCCTTTAGCTGCAGACAACCTCATGCATGGCAAAACCAGGCACGGCTGAGATTTCTCTCTTTGCTTTCCAAAGCCCTGCTCTGCCCGCCCCGATCCGAGGCCGGAGGAGCTGCTGAATGGCGAGTAATTAAAAGGAACAGAGAACAATACCCGCGGCTGGCGAGGAACGAGGAGTTTCCCCTCCGCTGTTTATAGCAATTGTATGAAAATGTACGAGGCGGGCTGGGACGCGCTGACAGCCGCGCCGGAGCAGCCGTGATTGCGAGCTGGCTGCTCCCCCGCCTGATTGGCATTAATTGTGCGCGTTTGCAAAGCAGAACGCAAAGTCTGACATGAGCTGCGAGCCAACATTTCTCCCTAATAGTCTCAATGATTACGACGAGAGCTGATGATTGCTGGGTGGGGGGGGGTGTTAATAGGGCCGGAGAGCAGCAATGCGGCTTCTCCTGGTGGGGGTGAGGGTCGGGCTGTGCCCCCCCTCGGCTCCATCCCTATCCCCATCCACCCTTGTGTGTGCAAGGGGAGATGCTCCTGCCCCAGCCGCTGGCTCTGCCTCATAGCAAGGGGAGGCTGCAGGGTGAGGGGATACCAGGAGGGTGTCCCCACATTGGCAGTGCCCTAAGGGAAGCACTCAGCCACCTTGGTCCCATGGGTGTCCCAAATGAAGCCGGGACCCCAGCGGCGACCACGTCCTCACCAAGCACTGCAGGAGGGGCTGATGGTGGGAGCAAGAAGGGAGAACCACCTGCAACCCCCCCGCCACTAACAGCAGAGCTCGTTATTAAAAGCTAATTAACAAAGCCTGAGCTTCCCAGACTTTTTACTGCCTTTTTGGATGTCCTTGAGCTTCACCGCTGCACAGAGGCCCGTGGGAGGACGGGTGGGCTGTGGAGACCAGCACAGGATGCTCCGGCCACAGCAGAGCCAGAGCCAGAGCAGCACAAAACCCTCCCCTGCGCAGCCCCGACCCGTCCAGGTTTACAGGGGAGGAAAAATCAATGGCATCGATTCGCAATACAAAGTGGGAACGTGGCGCTGGCAGCCGGCATCTGACCAGGGCTGTGCAGAGGACGTGGCCGGGGGTCACCCAGCAGGGGACACGGCTCGGGTCACATCAATGGGGATGGGGGACGTGGCCCAGGGTTACAGTGCTGGGGATGGGGATGGGGACAGGGCAGCACCGATGGCCGCCCTGCATGCACTGGGCCCCCCTGGACAGGGATCAATGCTGCCCGTCCACGTGCCATAAACCGGCGCAGCAGCAGATAAGACACATCCAGGGTGTGTGGGTGGCCCTTGGCTGTGTCCTTGCCACGGCTGGCACCCACCCAGCCTTCTCCAGGGCCACCACACAGCCCTCTGGGACAGACAGAGAGCTCCAGGCTCTTTATCATCTGCGTTGGCCAATGCATCACTCGGCTTTGGGCTTTCTGAGCTCACTATTAATAGTTCCCAGATGAAAAGGAATAAAGACTCGGTCCCTCTCCTCCTTTCCCCCCTTGCCAACAAAAAAAGTCCGTAAAGAAGAGCTATAAAACTGGCTTGTTATCTCACCTAGCGAGGCTCAGCCTGTATGTTATTGCTAATTGGGTATAACATCCTTGTCTTGTTCTGCTCTCTGAAGCTAAATCAAGAAAGCACCACTGCTGCGAACTAATTATATCTCTGGACTGCAGACTCCAGCTTGTCTTCCCCTTTATTGAGTTAAAAAATGGTCACTAACCTTAATCTCTCATATTCCCAAGCATTAGGGCTGCTGAAAAACCACCGCTTCCACCTGCATCCCGGTCTGTGCTAAGGAAGATGGAGCACATGTTCCAGCAAAGGTTTTGTGCTGCTCTGGGACCCAGCCCAGGCACAGCCTGCAGGTGCCCATCCCTGCACACCAAGACCACCACAGCACCGAACCTTGTTCTTACAGTGAAGTTTAAGCTTATTTCATTATGTTTTTAAAGTCTGAACCCTGGGCAGCATCCCCATGCCTCGAGCTCACCAGATGTGAGCAGATGCGAGCATCTGCATCAAGCACGCACGAACTAACAGGAACGGATGCTGCTCCAGTTCATCCACATCAACTCCCAGTCCCAACCCACAGTGGAATCTGATGGTCCTATTCATACTGGTGCTCACCATGGGTCCCCCATAGGGGCAAGGACACCACGGCTACCGGCTGCACCACTACAGGTAGCTACAACCAAAGCACTGCGGTTACCGGAGCACTGCGGCTGTGCACTATGGTGCTGCCATGGCACAAACCTCCCAGGCACAGATAAGAGGGGCCAACCAGACTCCAAAGGGCACTGAGAAGGGCAGTGGGGCTTTGGCACTGCAGCCATGAGGGTGACCCCGTCCCTCCTTCACCAACCACACAAGGGGGGATATTTAAGCAGAAATACAAGGCTGTGGGTCAGAAGAGCGATGCCACCGAGCCCAGCGCCATCCCCCTGCCCGGGGGGACCCACACAGATGGTGCTGTTCTCCAAAGGGAAAGTCAAGCTCCAGCTCTCCCTGCAAGCCAAGAGCATCCCTTAAAAAATTGATACTTCCCTGCCTATTAATTAACCTGAACCACTTAAAACCGCCTTCAATTTGTCAGGTTTAACTGCCAGCTCTGCTCCGTAAATCAAGCGTCGCGTGCAGATGGAGGCTGCAGGGAAGGGAGCAGGCAGCGAGCGGGGCACCCTGCGCCATGCTCCCCATCCCATCCTCCCCGAGAGCACCAACCACGACATTCCCACCCTGCAGTGAGCCAGGACATGGCATTAAACAGGGGGGGCTGCAGAGCACCCCACGCCGCATCATTCCCATCTCCCCCACAGCACTCTTGTTGTGCAACCAAGGCTGAATTTGGCAGCAATGTGAATATTTCTCTCTGACAGCAAAACCTCCCCGCTGCAGGGTATTGAGGCTTTATTAGTGTGTGGTTACCAATGACACTAAGCCAGCCCTTGCTCTAGCAGAGATGACCTACAAGAGGCAGATGGTGACAGCTTCAGAGAGCCCCCGACCCTGGGACGTGCCTTCCCTCCATAGGGCTGCACACCCTGGTCCCACGCAGGGGGATAGAGACAGAGTCCAGAGACAGGTCCCCCCACACAAAAGCCCTCTCCTCACACAGGGCCAACCCCTCCGCAACACCTCCTGATGCTGGGGCCATCCCTGGCCCCCGCCGGTTTAGGTTAACCCGCTGATGTATTCTCTCCTTAGCAAAAGGAGTCCCAGGGGCTATAAAACCTCCCAGCAGGCTCCTGTCAGTCTCAGGTCATTAACTTTCTTTCATTGGGAGTTTGTTTACAGCCAGCCATAAATAGCGGCGCGGGCGCCGGGACGGGTGCGACTGGACCCATGCAGGAGGGCGCAGTGCCCCGGGTCCAGGGCACCCGGTCCGGTGGTGCTCATCCCACCGTATCCATGACTCCCCCATGCCCCGTGTTCCCCATGGTGCCATCAAACTGCCTCAGCCCTGCAAACTGATGGGGTCACCTTGTGCATGGCCAGGGGGAACTGGGGAATGTGCTTGAGGCTCCACTGTGGTCTTTAATGGAAGAGGAGGAGGAAGGTAGCTGGGCCAAGCTGGCTCTGTGGGTGAGCTGCCCCCAGGCCCTGCTCTGTGCCCTCACACAGACCAGCACCAGCTGCAGAGGGAGCACAGCCCCTGCGCCCATCACAAGCACCCACCTCACATCAGGCCCTCTGCATGTTCAAGACGCACACAGAGCCACAGGAGGGACCCCAACATCCCTCATCTCACAGTGACCTCCACCTCAGCCTTCCACCCCGAGGCACTGTGCTGATTTACCAGCACGGAGGTGGAAAGCAGAAAAGCCAAGCACACAACCAGCATAGCACTGCAATCCTGCTCTGCACACCAGGGCTCCTCCGTGCATGAGCACACCCAGGATAGTCTTGGAGCACCCACCTCCCACTGCCTGCCCAAGAGATGCACCCACAGTGCTGCCAATGCCCCAACACCAGGAGCACACCCCTTTAGCACACAAGAACCCCATTAACTCCTCAGGAGGGGCTGGTGTGGCTCCCAGTTGGGAGGTGGCTGGGTGCAGGTGCCCAGGGCTGGCAATGGGACCGCAGGTCACCAGGAGCCTTCTCTGCTGTAAGTGAACACCGCGGCTCCATGTGAACCCATCAGCTGCGGCTCCACTACAGCACCGGGAAGCACCAGCACTGTGTGCATGGGGGGCTCAGCGTGGGCTCCCCACTGCTGACCCACATCCCCACCCTACCCTGAGCACCACCATCACCACCACGCTGGCTTGGATGCCCAGAGCAGGGCTCAGTAGCATGACCCCCAAAAAAACCTTGTTCTAGGCTGCAAAGGGAGCTTGATTTCACAGGGTGACTATAGGAACCCAGCCCAGCAGCACCCCAGGCTGCACAGTGGTGAGCTGAGAGGTTAAACACCAAACTCACACCTGGTGACTTCTGCTCTTGCACCCGTCCCTGGGAGAGCAGGGACTGACCAAAAATCACAGCCTCGTCACTCACAGTCCCCCAAGTCTCTGGAAATATCTATATTTTAAACCATACACTGGCACACAACCTGTAATCAGAGCAACACAAATAGCCCCTGCTTCCCATGTAAATTAAAAACACCCATTAGGCAGATTTCAAAAGATGTCAGTAGGCTTATAATTATACACGACATCCTTCCGAGATAAAAGCGATTACCGGGGATGCAAATCACTTAGCAACCAATCAGTGCCCCCAGAGTGCAAAGCACTGACCAGCCATCCATTTTCGCCTCGTCCTTTTATTCCCTGCATCGAGCAAATACAAACACAGATAAAGAGAGGCACAATAGCTCTTGACACGCAAATAGGTTAACATAATAAAGCCAGCTTTAGCCGGCTCACTCGAGGGAGAAAAGCAATTCTCAGGCAAGCAGGAGGTAATAAAACAGGGCTTTTGTGTTCCTGGCTCCTATTCTCACCCCTGCGCCAGCTTTGCTGCATTAGCTGATAGGCATCGTGGTTTGATTGAATTACCTTTCATGAATATTAGCTTTTTGAGGAATGCGCAGGCAGAAGAGAAAGAAATGTCTTATTTCTTTGCATGCATGCGCCCGCTGCAGACGGACATGCGGCGGCAGATGCCCGCGGGGCCGGGAGCGGGGTCCTGCAGGTGCAGCCCCCGATCCCCCCCCCACCAGCTGCAGCATCCCTGCGGGGGGGCACCGGCCGCGGACACACCCCCCCCCCCCCCCCAGCACCAAACACCACCCCAAAAGACCGCATCCTGCCGGGAAAGATGTCCTGCTCTGATCCCCATCGCCCCGGACCCGCATCCCTGGTACCCGGCAGCAGGAGGGTGCAGGGGGGGCTGGATCCCCCCTAATATTTAGGCTTCACCGCAGGTTTCCCAGCACAAGTTCAGGCCATGCAGAGAAACCCGCTTCAGGCGAAATGAA